AAGGAAGGAAGGAAGGAAGGAAGGGACAAACAAACACACGCACACAAACAAGCACAGGGCTAACATAGTTGGATTTTCTGAATGGCTGCAATAGTTGGCACATATAGTATAATCTTCTGAGAGTGGTTATCTGACAAACACTCCAGTTGACCCCCCCCCCGAACTTTCACATCTGCTAATAATGTTTTATTGCAAATGGCTGTGGGAAGTGGCAGCACACCCTTCCTTTCTTGCACCAACAAGAAAGGTTCCAAGAAAAACACACACACACACACACACACAAAAGAGTGAAATGTGACACAGATATGCATTAACTAAAAGGTATGCCGTTGAGCGCTCCAGGATCTTTTTGGAAAGTGGATCCATAAGAGGGCTTGAAAGCAACAACGGTCACCTATCCGGGCAACTCTCGGCAGCTGTTCTCCCCCTCTGCTCTGAAGCAAGCAGGTGGGCAACAGAGAGTGCCAAGCCAAAAGACATCATGGCTCCCTGCGTTTAAACACTCTGGGAAATTAGGTTTTACATACAAAGGACGTATTTTTTGACATGTAGTCCAAAACATACTGATACCCCTCACCGCCCCACTTTTGCACCAGCTTCTTCACCTAGACAGAAAGCTCTGTCTTTAGAATGGCTGGGTTTTCAAACAATAATACTAATGAAGGAAGCATTGCCCTTTTCCCTCTGCTACAATTCCTTTCTTTTATGTTTCTGCTTCGCAGACATTTGCTGCTAAATATGTTCTGCAACAGTACCTGGAAGGCAGGAGAGAAGGGTGAGGCCCATCCAAGGATGAGCTTTTCCCTTTTAGAAATAGGCTGTACTTTCCCATCCCTGCTTGCACTGCTCTACATGCAGATGTTCTTGAAGAAAATTATTTAGTCAGTCAGCTTACGCAAAAAAAGATATACTGGAGGAAGCTGTAGAGAGGAGTAGGCAGCTTAGATTGCCAAGATCCTGCATCTACGGGTGACACTGTGCTACTCTACACACTTGGATGACAATCATGCAGGTTTATCACAGTGTCTGTTGGTTTTGCTCTTTTTTTTTCTTTTTCAGTCCACCTGAAGCTTCACATCATCTCAGAGATGGGAGGATGCACATTTTCACTTCACTGGCTTCTGTTCTCTCTTCATCCTTCTCTTTCTTTCTTTCTTTCTTTCTTTCTTTCTTTCTTTCTTTCTTTCTTTCTTTCTTTCTTTCTTTCTTTCTTTCTTTCTTTCTCTCTCTCTCTCTCTCTCTCTCTCTCTCTCATCCCACGTTGCAGCAGGCAGGTGTTAATTCTACTCCGAGGCCATTTGTTCAATGTGGTCACTCAGGAGCTTGTACTGCTCTGTAAACATAGAACCAACTCGAGGAATTGATCTTTTAGGAGACACAGTGAGTATTAGAAATAAAAAAAACTCTGTTTACTGGCACTACATTCTATCCATTTACAGAAGGAGGCTACAGTCCATGAAAGCTAATGTGGAATAAAACTCTTCCCAGAGAAATGGTCTTACCTTCATCTAGGTTGCCAATCACTGCCTGCTTCTTCAAGAAGTCATTACAAAGCTTCTTGTTCAACCCAAAAGCCAGCATGTTATGAGTGAAAGTGCTGCAGCAGAAAGAAGAAACGGGCCTACTTAAGAACACTGATTGATGGGCTTGCTTCAGCTGCAGAAGGTCCTGGATTCAATCTCTAGCATTTAGATCAAAAAGATTTCCATTAGCAAGTGGTTGGGAAATCATCTCTGACACCCTGGCAAGCGACTACCCATCGAAAGAGATGTTGGCGCTGCCAGACAGGGGGTCTGGGCTTTGGCACCACTGAATGTGTTCCCTAGCGTTGAGAGAGCCACAGCCCAACACATACGGACATTCAGGGTGACACGACAGGAGGGCAAAATTTTAGTAATAATTTGTTATTCTTATCTATTGGAAGAAATGGGACTGGTGTCTGCAGAGATTTTCTGTCACCCGCGTCAAAATAAGTTGGCTCCCACTGGTCAGCACACATCTTAAGCCAGGTTAGGGGCTGAGAGAGGTGGACTGCCCTTCACTACTTTATCCCAGGTCAGTTTCTTCCACACTTACCCCAGCTGCCCGAAGGTGATATTCTCATTAAACCGCAGGCTATCATCTCTTTCCTCTTGGGTCATGTGGCACCATTTCTCCCTGCAAACATATCAACAGACCTTGTAACCAACACACAGAGTCATGTTTAGCCAACATCCATCAACACGGGGCAACTTATGGGAGCACAGGATGTACACGCCACTGATTTGCCTCACTTCTAAAGCAGGACATCAACCAGGATTTAGTAAGTAAAGAGGCAGACCAACTGGTACAGTCTGTAGACTAGCCTGTTGCTAGCTTCACACCTTGTATATTTTACAACTAAAACTAGGACAAAAGCAGTTGTTTAAAAATACACATCTCTATTTCCTTTAGATGCTTGCATTTTTCACCTTCTCTTCTCTTTTAAAAGGGAAAAATCTCCAAATGGATACCTTTGTGGTTGTTCTCTCTTACTTGTCATCATTGTAAGTCTATCCATAACCCCTGAATTGCCATTTCAGGGATCAAAAAGAGGGAAAGACAACCACATTAGTGAAGGGTGAAAAGAGGGAAAGAACAGGTGCAAAACGGAATATCTCATTAAAGGCTCTTCATAAGTTGGCATATCCCTAATAACCTGATGAATGCTCTGCCAACTCCCCTTTCACAGATAGAGGAACCAAGGTTTTGACAGAAAGGCAGAAGCCAAGGAATAAGCCTGTAGCCAGCACTGGATTCAAACCAGGTTACTAAGTCTGGCTGCAGCAGCTCTTAAAAGCAACCAAGAGTCTTATCGCACTTCAAGGACTCATCAGTTTTATTTGGCATTAAGTATTTGTGAAGTGCTGCCAAACTGTCTCAAAGGGATGGCTGCATGATGCAGGCACTGCAAATATCTGAGGCACCATCTGAAAAGTTTATGCCAAATAAATCTCATGAGCCTTTCAGGGGCTACAAGACTCTTCACTGCTTCCAATCACTCTTCAGTTCTTGGCAATATATTGGTTAAAAATAGCAGGCTTGGAGGTTGGAAGAACTCCCTCCTTTGAATACAACTGACAGAATCCTCAGCCAGTGCAGCAGCGGCCATTCTGGCGAGGGAATTCTGGACACGGTCATCCAGAAAGCAGCATTTCCAAGCCCTCAGTTCACAAAGCACTGGAGAAGTACTACGAATCCTCCAAGGAGTCAAAAGTTAGACTAGCTCCTCCTTTGAATACAACTGACAGAATCCTCAGCCAGTGCAGCAGCGGCCATTCTGGCTAGGGAATTCTGGACATGGTCATCCAGAAAGCAGCATTTCCAAGCCCTCAGTTCACAAAGCACTGGAGAAGTACTACGAATCTGAGTTGCCCAACCTCCAAGGAGTCAAAAGTTAGACTAGCTGTTAAACCCCTGTTATGGTCCTACACTTCACCAGTTCCAGTAGAAGGGAGATCCCACAGGCCAGCTGAGCATCAGAAAAGAAAACCTCGTAACTGGAAAGGAACATATATGACCCTTCTTTGTGTCCTTACCGTCTTCTTTAAAATCCCCTACTACTTTTTTCTACAGAAGAGGCTGGCATATATGACCCTTCTTTGTGTCCTTACCGTCTTCTTACCATTTAAAATCCCCTACTACTTTTTTCTACAGAAGAGGCTGGAAAGATCCTGCTCTCTGCTGTATAAACAGCCTTTCAATAATCAGAATTCCACTGTTCTTATTGGTACTTTACTGATGCTCAGTAATGAGTCCTCTAATGATTCAGGGACGCTCATTATAACTAGCCTAGCTGTCTGTTTAAACCTATGCTAATACTTTTGATACATATCTTCTGTGGGAGTTTCAGAGACCGGCATGTTACACAGCTATAGATCACCCCTTCTAGCTGGCCACTCATAATTCTTGGAAAGAGAAATCAAGAGCATGCATGCTTCTAGATTCTCACCAAAATACCAACTTAGCCCCATGTGCAAATGTCTGTCAAGAATCATGGTGGCTCAGAGCTGAGCAACAATGGGTAGAACAGTCCCTTCTGGGCTATAGCGTTTGAGACTATTTCTTCTCTGGGGAGAAAGAACTGTGGCATTTCTTGACAAGTAATTAAATACATTTGCACATATAGAAAACTTCCTCTTCAGAGGAAGGCTAGGTCAATATCCCCTCAGATGTATTAGCTTTCTAAATGCAGAAATTCTTTATAACTACAAAAACATTAGCAAGAAGCCGTCCGTCACTACAGGTGGGACAAAACTCAAGGCGGGTCACTTATAGGATGCTTTTTGCTTTGAACAAGAGTCTGGTAAAGCTTGCAGACATCAAAAGAGGCAACAGAAAAATGAGGGAGGATGTGAAATTATACACAGAAGGGAATAAATGGAGGAGGCACAACTGGAGGAAACAAAAAGTTGGAGCAGAAATTGTAAAGTGTGGCCTTTTGCACAGAAGATGACAACAGACTGAATAGGAGCAGACTGGAGGGAGAAGGATTTCTGAGCAGGAAATTCAAGCCTGTAACCCTGAACTGTTCTTCATGGGAAACAGGAACTTGTGAACATGAAGTTTAAGGTAAGAGAAAGATCTCAGAATGGTGATCACACTGCCTGAGTCTGAAAATGTCCAGAAAGCCAAAGGTTAATTGATTTAGCTGGCCAAGGATTGATGGGTTCAAGGAGTACCCAGCTGGTCCACTCTGCTAATAAATGCCAATTGAATCCCTCAAATGCTCACCTTCTCTGCACTTTGCCTGATTTGATGGGAACTGGGTTATTGCTGGACAGAGGCCCAATGCTGGCCTGCCATCCCTCAGGCAGACAGCCAAGTGTGGTACTCAAATCTCTCTGGAAGTTTATCAGTGCAAATATCTGCCATTTTGGAGCGGCTGCTCCTGAGGTGCCTTCAGCTTCCCACCTTCATGTTCCGACAATAAGACATTCACTGACCTAGCATAAAAAGGAGGGGAGATATGCATACTGGTGATAAGCAAGGCAGGGGCGAGGTGGGGAGGGGAGACTGGACACATAAAGCAGGCATTATAAGTGAATGCAAACAGAAGGAAGAGAACGCCAAGCAACAGAGGCAGCAGCATCTTGAGAGAAGAATTAAAAGCAAAAGGAAACAAAGAAAAGGAGGTCAGACCTCTGTACTTAGAACTCATTCATGACTGAAAGGAGCCTGGATCAAACAACAACAACAACAAAAACCAGCCACAGGGACTGACATGGAAAATGGTTGTTTAGGAGGTCTTCAACCTCACAGGTTTACTCCATGATAGGGAGAATAAACATAAAACCACTGAAATCTGCATAATAAATGAGCTGCTAGGAAGGGGGCTTGAGTGTTCCCAGAGTAGAGAGGTGGAACCTTGTTTCTTTGCTTGTTTGTTTTGGGAGGAGGTGGGGTGACGTAGCCCTGGAGCCTGGCGTCTGAGCCCTTGGAAAGGCCCTCTGGGGTTCCCTATGTGACTGGGGCTTCTCCCTCTAGCACCATGGCTTGGCGGCTTGGTTCTTTCCCCATTGGTATGGGGTTCTCTCCATTCTAAAAAGTTTAAGTTAAAAGGTTTCTCCTAAATCTCCATGACGGCAGAAATAACTTCTAACTAAAATATGTTTGCGTTCTGGATTCCTCCTTTTGGCTTTGGCTTTGGTTTTGACCAACACTCCAGGGTGAAAAAGACAGTCCTTGTTTTAAGAGACTTGGAAAGCGATTTGAGACAGTTCCCTTCTCAGAGTTTAGCACTGATATTCATTTTGTCTGGTCCAGCAAGTTGTGCAGGTTTTGAAAAAAAGATGCAAACGCCTGCAAAGTACACCTACCAAAGGGAACAGTGAAATTAGCAAAAATCCGGCCTTAAAAATACGTATTTTAACCAAACAACAATACATTATCCACTCTTGAGTCCAACAATACAAAGGAGGACACACTATATGAACAATATTTGCCAAACTGGTTTTCACTATAACTGTACTTCAGGCCAAGAATCTTCAGGTGCACTTTTCAACTCCTTGATGAAAGAAAAAATAATCTACTGCCATTTCTAGTTTTTAGTTTATGTCGCTTTAGTTGTCAAGAGCTCAGGTTTCCAGTTTTAAATTGTTCCTGTCCTTCAAGGGAATTTTTTGCACTCCACCAAATACTGTGCAACCTCAGTGGCCACTTTCTAGACCCAAAGTGAGCGGACAGGTAACTGTTTAGAAAGAAGGGAAGAAGTAAATGTGGACAGACACACCTCGTTTCCTCTTCCTCTCCAGCATTCCCTCTGGAGTGGCAGCAGAAAGGGCCAACAGAAGGATACATGTTATAACCATGCAAAAAGTATGGATGTAGAGAAAGAAAGGGTGGAAGAATTGACCAATTTAACAGAACAGAACAGAGAAAAAGAGAGATTATAGACATAGACAAAAAGAGAAAGAGATATTAATCGTTGGGGTTAATTAGTTTGTTTCACCCTCCGCTTCCCCACAAAGCAATGCAAGAAGTGGTCCTTCCGGGGCTCTAAGATTCCTGCCCGTCAGTCTCTTGTTTGATCATGCTATCAAACCAAATTGCTGTGTTTTCCCCTTAAACCTTCTTTATAGCATTTTAAAAGACTGGTGCTTCCACCAGTGACCCTGACTGCCCGCCAATCAAATCAATGGAAGGGACACAGGCCTGATCGACAGTGGAGGATGGGAGAAAAAAATTGCCAACCTATAAATCAAAGACTGTTCCTCACCCACCGCCACATAATCCCCACACTGTTATCCCCTGTTGCAGAGAAAACAACAACAACAACACTGGACACTCCAACCTGGTGGTGGGCGACCGCTTCCGCCTCTCACAGTGGACCGCATCAAAGAAGGCTGCATTCCAAAACCGCAGAGTGTGCCTGCAAAACGGGCAGGGACAGGAAACAGGCTGGGACTGGAGGAAGCGCTTATTTCAATACTGAAAGTCTAAACAGAGCCATGTTTCAAAGGATGGCTTGCAAGTGGGGGCCAAGAGACATGATTTCAAGATATATTTTAAACTTACTGCTAAGAAATTCTTCAAGTTTTTTGCTATTTCTTTATTACTCCTATGTTTTTTGTTTTTGGAAAACAGAAAAGAAACATTAAGCTAAGAAGGAGCAACACATCAGTTACTTTTACATTTTTGTTATGATTACAGTGATAAAGTTCTTTACAAGCTTTGACAACAGGGCTAGAGGTGTGTGCCCCAACCCCTCCCACTACACATGGCTTCTTTTCACTCAAGAGAAGAAATGTGCGTGAAGCCGGCCGCAGCCACCTCCCTCAACCTACCCTGTGTGCATGGGCTCCAGAAGGGGGGCAACGAGGACATGTGGGCCTTACCAGATGGGCTGCTGCTTCAAGTGCATGTACAGGTAAATCTTCTCCCCTGCTTTCTCCTCCTCTGCCTCCTCAGGACTGTACAGAGAAACTGTAAAGTGATATTGGTCAGGGACTACCCCGTATATGCCAAAACATATGCCTATAGGATGCCTGCCTTGTTATGAAACTGGATGAAGGGGAAGCTCTCCAGAAGACGGCCTGCAGAAATCCATGGGCCGGTCATCTTCATGAGAGCTTTCTGCGGGGGCAGCTCCTCAATTGTGGAGTACAGTACCGTCAGAGTCACAGTGAGTCCCAGTAGTGCTCATTTTAAGGACATGCATGAAAGAACACCTTCTAAAGGCATTTAATAATTACTATGGCTATTTTCATTATCTGTTTATAGACAAATCTGATTTTATTGAAAAACAAAACTTAAAACAAAATTTAAATGGTTTCATGGTAGTATCTGTTTTCTGTTTCCTTCTTTTTAATCTCTTTTTTAAAGTTCCCAAGATACCTTGAATACTCTTCCATAGTGGAAAGGCAGGGCAGTAAGTATTATTTGGTGAATCAACTCCTCTGTCATTTCCACTCATTCAGTAGAGCTACTCCACTTGTGACTTACTGTGCTATATAAGATGATTTGCCCTTCCTGCCGCTCTGTATGTTAATTATTCGAAAACAATCTGCATTTTAAACTAAAAACAAAGCAAAGATTGTCAGTGTTACATACCCGATTTCTGGATTTTCTCTCTCTGTTTCTCGTCACCATTGCTAGAAAAACCACCAAACAAATGTAGGGTTGTTAGTGAAGAAGAAGAGGCATCCAGACCCTTCTGGCTAGCCCTGAGACCCTGTTCCAGAGAAACTGGTTTGGTAAGGGACTACTCATAAATCCTAGTGGCAAAGAGGGGAACCTTCCCACTCTTTGGTGCAATAAAATGGCAGGACTCTTGTTTCTAATCCACCATGAACCATGAGAGAGCAGTAGAGCCTGACAGCTTCTCATGGCAAGACTGGAACAGACTCCTGCCTGGAATCTGGAAGATCCAGAAGCCCCTTTGCTGGACGGAACTGGACAAGAGGACGTGGGAACAACAGGGGGCAGCACAGGCTCATGTCCTGCTTGCGAGCTTCCCACAGCGGCCCTAGGAACAGACAGACACCTGGGTGGGAGGAAGCCGCTACCCTGCTGACCCAGCAGCCCGGCTTTTATTCTCTTCTCTTCTCTTCCTCCCCGCCCCCCCAGGCACTCTACCCCTAAGCAAGATCTTTTGGATGGAGTACAGGCCACAGGCAGAGACCAGGGTTTGACGAAGCTGCCTGGGGGATTTGGAGAGCTGTACTCCATGACTGCCACTCTTCTGGATGTGAGCAGAGGCACAGCAGTGTAGATAAAGGCCAGCTTTAGTGGTCTGTCTCAAACAAGATGCCAGTTCACACATGGGGGAAATGGATGCATTACAAGACTTGATATTCTAGGGTCAGAATGGAAAAAAAAGAAGGGTCCTGATGGACGGATGCTAGCAAAGAAGATGCCCCCCCCCCAAAGCAAGCTACTCCACTCTTGAGCCACTTGTCCTATGCCTAGGTTTCTTCTCAAATTTAGCCTACATTGGCTGCCCTGAAATACCCAATGTTGGTTCTACACACACTTTTGCAGCAAGAGAGAACAAACTTGCACCCTCTTCCATTTGGTAGATCTTCAGTATTTAAAAAAACTGCTAACATGTCTCCCTTAATGTATCTCTTTTCCTGGCTACATGTATCCCATATTTTCCCACTGTTCCTCCTAGAATCTTCTCTACCTCTAGAACTGGACTCACTTATTTTTCTTGGCCACGGGTCCTTTTAGCTTGCTTTCAAAGCTTCCAAAAAATCCTTTCACGTTCTCTGTCTTGACAGACGTGTTCTTCAGGAGCCGTTCCGCAATGTCTTTCTTTTCTGCCAGCCAGGTATTAGCTGACTTCAGGTAAGAGTCAATGCTGCCGGTGGGCTTCTCCTTGGACTCTGGAGGCAGCGCTTGAGGCTTCCCTGGTGGAAGATAACCCCCAGAGGGTTAAGCACACACCTTAGCATGGCTCTACATCTCCCAAAAAAGAAAGTCCGTCCAAGACTAGTTTATTCTCTCTGTTTATTTTTAAATAAACACTACAAGCCCTCATAATTGGATGGCCAGATAGTTGAGTCAGTTAGCTGCCTGGCCACAAGTCTGATTCCTCACTGGGCCTCCCAGGAGAGCAAACCTATGTGGACTTCTGCACAGCCCCAGAAGAAGGGAATGGTAAACCCCATCTGAGTTCTCTGGACCTAGGAAATCCTGGCTCTAACCGTAACTACAAATCAACTGGACAGCATGCAATTATTTTTATTAGCCCTCATATTTACAATGGGACTTTGAACTGAGATAAATCAGGCTAAGTAGTTGGAAATGTCAAAGCAATAAATGAACAGAAAACCATGACATTTCTCAGCTCTTATCCATTCAGAGACAACATACACCACATACACACGTCTGGGTCTAACTGGTTTTTTTTTTTTTGAGATTTGGAAGGAGAGCCTAACAAAAAGTTATGGGGAATGTGAAAGCTTGCGTGCCATGCCGAAACCTTTGGGCTGGTCTTAATAAAAGTAGTGTCTCACCTTGGATTTTGGGGTTAAGGTCCAATTCCCCCCCCCCCAGCCAGGGAACCCACCAAGTCCAAAGAACTGCCACTGCTTTCTGCTGCTCTCCACAACACTGAATAATTTCCAAATGCTGAGCAATGAAGGACCCCTGAGTGCCAGGCACTGTGAAAGGCTCCTCTTTAGGCATCAACAGTGCAGGCAGTCTCTGTCAACAGACCACCAGCAGTCCTCAGTACATCCACCTCAGTGGACGCTCACTGGGGTGTTGAAAACCTTATTAGGATTGCCACAGATCTGACACAGCTAGAGAGCATGTAACAGACTAGATGCACCCACTCACCACCCAAGCAGGATGAGACGCATGCACAGTGGGCAAGAACATTGCTTACCAACATAGTAGTAGGTGAAACACATGGTCATCAGGTTCTTGGCAGGGCTAAAGTCATCCATCTGGTGACACCTGAACCATTAGCGAGTTAAGAATAAAAGAGATGCTGAAGAATGAAAAAAGACGTATCATCTCCATACTGCAAAATACTAGCATGACAGCTTGGTGGTAGGAAAGGGGAAGCATAATCTGCTCCAATGCCATGTGGCAGAGACGCCCCAGAGAGGGGTTGATGTAGACCAGTGGTTCTTAACCTTTGTTACTCGGATGTTTTTGAACTGCAACTCCCAGAAACCCCAGCCAGCACACTTGGTGGTGAAGGCTTCTGGGAGTTGCAGTCCAAAACTCCTGAGTAACCCAAGGTTAAGAACCAGTGATGCAGACTCTAAAGGCCTGGGTTTGAATTCTCACTTGGCCACCAAACTCTGCAGGTGCCCAGGAGCCATTAAACATCCCCCAAACAGTAACCCAACAAACTATCTCACAAAACTACTCTTGGAACAAAGGGGTGGTGCTGAGAAGTTACCTTTATTGACTGACCCATTGATTGACAGATTGATTGGAAGAATAGCTTTCCCTCCCTCCCTCCCTCCCATTTATACCCCACTCATCTAGGAGGGTAACAGCAGGTAAAAATACAACTACACACCCCAGCCCTCAAAAATATAAATAATGAGACCCAGAGAAGATATTAATAGCCCAAATAAGACAGCCAACCAATATCCAATACATGGGTCCACAAAGATGTCAAAGGGAGCAAAGATGTTTCCAAAAGTCTTCAAACAATATACCGTGTTTCACCAAAAATAAGACAAGGTCTTATATTAATTTGTGCTCCAAAAATGCATTAGGACTTATTTTCTGCAGATTTTTTTTCCCATGTACAACCATCGGCATTTATTCACACACAGTCCTGTCATCTTCTTCTGGTTGCTGCACAATGAGTCCCTGGTGGAGGGCAGGGTTTCACTTAACTGGGGCTAATTTTTGCGGTAGGGTTTACATTATGAGCATCCTGAAAAATCATACTAGGGCTTATTTTCAGGTTAGGGCTTGTTTTCGGGAAAACAGGGTAGTTTTTACCCATGGGATGAAAATACTGAGATAAAAATTGAGGCAACAAAAAGAAGAGATAGATTTGGGAGTCATGTGGCTTTCTAGCCTCAGCTCCCCACATATAAAGTGAACCAGCTGGGGGGAGGGGGGAATATCCAGAGTGCTATTAAGTTTTTAAATATTTCTCATGGGTTGATTCTATTGCATTCCAAACTCAGTCATTTCCTAAAGCAAAATCATGTGAAGATACAATGAACTAACAACCCTGTGATGCTGGTTAGACTTGAGTGTTAGGAAATGTAACCCAAACCCTCTGAACCCAATGGCGATACTGCCATCCTATACAGACTTTATCTAGGAATAGGTACGACTGAACAAAACGGGATTGTCTCTTGTTCTGAAGCTTGACCATACTCACTCGAAAAGGACCACAGCAAAAGACTGCACAAGGCGATAGAAAGTCTGCTCTGAGACACACTTGGAATTGCAGCGCTGGAAGGAAACAGGAACCAGAAGAGGGTCAGGCCTCCAGTGCATGTCCACGGAACAGGCGTTTTTGCCGCAGTAAGAACTGCAGGCAAATGTGCACACCTGGACTACACTAGCAGACAAGTTGGCTGAAGTACTTTCTGTTTCTTGTCTTTCACCAGCCGCTTGGACAGTTGCTTCAGCAGTTTTGCAGTACTTTTTAAAGTGGAAGGGCTTTTAAAAGATCTGTACAACATTTTGGAACCTTTGAGAGGCCTACTTTGCAACCTAGGTAAGAGCGACACGATCAGAAGTTGGCAAGTTGTTCAGTGATTATAAGAATCAGTTGTTGAAAAGAAATAGCCATGTAAGTCTGTGTCAGCAAGTTGGCAAAATTAAAGTGAAACGGAGAGGAAAGGGCGGGGAGGGGGAGAGACATAACCAAAGGACAAAATACTGTAGCCCTATAAAAGATAACAGGTTTGTTTTGGTGTGAGCTTTTCCGGATCCAAATCCACTTCCTCAGATCCTTGGAATGCTCCTATTTCCCTTCTGTATTTATACATACCCTAGTACTGGCAGAATCTGACCAGATGATACAGGCCAAAGACAAAGTGGCAATGCACTGGGGACTAAAGAGGATGACAATCAAGATATTAACTACTTAAAACTGGAGGCAAACCTGGGGTGTTTATCTGTCTGCCAAATAGGTTTGTGTGAGGCTCCCAAGGTGGAAGCCATGGTTGGAGTGCCGCTGCTCTTGAAGAATAGCAGCCAGACACAGACTTCCCCCCCACCATCCCCACCGCGACGGGAAGAGAAAGGAGTGGGAACCCCTGACTGGGGAGCAGAATGCGGCGGATCCCTCACCCTAAACAAAGGGGTAGACACCCGTGATTTAGAGGAGGACATGAAGGGGTTAAGAATTGCCCGCGAAACGGGACGGCCTCAGGCGGGAAAGAGGGAGGAGGAGATAGAGGCGGGGATGGGGGATATAAGGGGGAGACCAAGGGATATTCCGGGTGGTTGGGAGTGGGTGTGGATGGAGGATCCGTGGACCCACAAATGGGAACAAGTCCGGGTGCCACATGAAGAGGCAGAGAAGCGCCGACAGCTCGGGTTGAAGCCCCGTCCGTCTTACTGGGGTGAGACGGAGGCGAGAGAGTGGCGTAGGAAACTCAGGGAAGAGAGGGAGGCGGTGGCCCGAGAGCTGGAAAGGAAACGCCAATGGCACATCTCCGAACTGAGGAAGCTGGGGGGCTACCCGGGCCCTGGGGCTACACCATAGAAGATGGGTCCTCATGGGACGGTTGGAGCGGAGACGAGGAGACCCTTCCCTTGATCTCCTTGGAAGAAGAAGTGAACCCTGGACCAGGACCTGTGCCGCCTTCAACAGGTCCCTGGAACCCAGAGAACTCTAACCCTTTTGTACACAGTTTATGGACCCCTCCCAAACCGAACCCGGGTCTCCAGACGTCTCTTAACCCGTTTATGGGAATTGTCAATGAAGATGTTAAGGTTGAAATAAACACGTTGCCGTTTGATTTGCCACAAGAGTCTCGTCCGTTTATTGGAGAAGGGACAGCCCGCCTACACGAACCCTCACAGTTTGGTTGTCAAAGAAACACCTGGAGTGCTTTCTAGAGTGAGTTCAGCTTCTCTCCAGCTCCCACTTCTGAGAGGACGCCCCCCAAGCTCTGTCCCAAAGCAGCCTCTTCAGAGCAGCTTTCAAAATATTGCACAGGGCGCTTTAACATGTGGCAAGCCTTTTACAAGGTTCAAAACCCTGCCCCTCTCCCTCAGAGGCTGATACGTATACTGTACAGCATTATCCCTGGCTCCTTCTTGTTGTCTGTTCTGGTAATTACATCGTGGACATACTGTATGTACCGCTGTTTTTTTTTCCCATTCAATAAGAAAACGCTGAGAGTGGATACTGATCCTGTGGATAAAGAGGTCCTACTGTGTCATGCCTTCTGCCACATGGGAATACAGGAGCCCCGTGGCTCTTCTGAAGCAGCCAGGAATTCCCCAGAACATTTAAAAGTAATTCAGTGATGCTTGAATTACAGAGTTTGTTGCCATTAATACTGCGCTGTTCAAAAATGAAATTTGCTGCATCACTTGCTACACATCCCTAAAACTATCTTCAAAATGTAACTATTAACATTAACGAGAAAATATTATCAGTATACCAACAAAGTACCACTATTACCACTTTTCTGTTAATTTTAACATGTGACTTCATCATCATCATCATCTCTCTCTCTCTCTCTCTCTCTCTCTCTCTCTCTTTCTCTCACACACACACACACACTCAAAACCCCACCAAAAAAAAAACCAAAACAAAGAAACTCATCCCATCTCAAAAGCTCCTGACCCTATGAATACAAGGCAGAGAGCTGTGTTACCTGTAACTTGTTGTTTCCATGGTTTGGGGCTCCCTGTCAGTGGAGGTCTGCTATCTCTGGATTGTGTAATCAAGTTTGACAGGAAACAGAACCGGGGGGGGAGGGGGAACCCAGCTCCACCACCCAGACATGGCACCCTCTAGGCCTCCTTACCTGAGCACTCACGTATCTGGCAAACCATTCCCTGCCTTTGGTGTTCTCCCCACTGCAGAGTTCCCCAAATTTGGCCTTCTCCTCTTGGTCAAATTCCTCTCTGGAATCACAAAGCCACAACACAGAAACCCACTTGTGCCATGAGGGCAAGAACACCAACTCTCAATAGCCTCCCATGTCAATCTGGCTACTGCCAGGACCTTCTGGGAGAGAATGCTATGTTGACTCATGTTACTTGGCCTCTGCCACGCCCCCGCC